TCTATCTCTCCTCATCCCTCCTCTCACAAAAATGTTGACTGTTAATTCACATCAACTAATTAAAGTGTAGATCTACCTACCCTTCTACCTTTCTGCCCCACCTACCCTCGGGCTAGGTCACATATGCGGCCAATGGAGCAGTCAGTCCAGTGTGATGTACTGGGGCTTCTACTCCAGCTATCTGGGTCTCACCTTTCCCCTAGAGCTGATGGTGGACCTCAAGGCCTTGCTGCTCGGGGTGGCCTTCCTTCTATACGTGCTCCGCTATGACCACAAGTAGACCAGCTGATTTATTCCAGAAAGGTCAGCTGACTACAGGAAGATGGTCATTCAACTTCAACAAAATGGACCAACTGACCATCTGCTTTTTTGAGACGTGTCCCTTTGCCGTTCTCAACGGGTGAGCAAAGAGGAAGTGATGACAACTGGCGTCCGCTAGTAGGGCCTACTACATGAAGAGTAAATTTCAATATTTTTACTCTATGTTTTTAAAATGTTATATTTCGGTACCTCAAAATTACAACGTTCTTTCTGACTTTTTATGCCGTTTAGAGTTACATGTACTAGATCTACTAAAATCATGAGATCCGAAATCAAATGCTCTTCTGCTCTATCGCGACAGTAAGATTAATGAGCTGTTATAATCAAGATATTCAAAGAATTGCATTCGAAAAAGTTTGACACATTGTGGAACTCATCATCTTTGACTTGTTTCTCAAAAGTAGGCACTGAGCAGATAGACGACTTTGTAATCCTGAGGTAGCGATTTGTCTGTGGCACGATGTCTGAGTTTAGCGAAGTAAATCGGGATTGAAGGCTTGTAGAACGCCCTCTACAGAACACACTGAAAATATTTCTAAAGCAAGGATGCTCAGTTGTGATAGTTACGAAATGTAAAACATCTTACGGGGTCAGATAAATACAAAATGTAAGCCTACTGTATTGCACGAAGTAACGACCACCCACGACCACTTTGTTGTTCCACCATTCTTCTCGTCCTCGCAGGAACTGCTGAGAAACGAATTTCAAAGTAACAACGTGCTCTTTGATTCAATGGTCTGACTCGTGACGGTGTGGGTGTGACAACAAAATGAGGCACTGAAGTCGTTGATGAGGCACAGGTCTGGGAAAAACCAAAAACAACGTTAAGTCTGGACTAGACTAGTACCCGCATGGTTCATTCGGAGTACATGTATACATCCACATACACTATACACACGGGCCATTCTCATGTTTACATGCACCCCCCCCCCTCCCCCACACTATCGATCCCACTCACCCTTATCTCCCC